AAGCAAGGCCAAGCAAGGCCAAGCAAGGCCAAGCAAGGCCAAGCAAGCACGCAGGCAGGCAGGCAGGCAAGCAGGCAAAGAAAAGAACTAATAAACACAAAACAAAGAGACAAACCAACCAGCAAACATACCAACCAAGCAATGCATCCCTTCCCTGCTTTCTCTCTCGAGCCCTCGCAATTCACGTCAGACCAGCTGGAAGGAGCCGCAGCCCCCCAACAAACGAGCCGACGGCGCTCGTCTGTTCTCCGGAAACGCTACCCTCCCCCAAAACCAACATGCTCGAATGTATCAGGGGGGACCTGAGAGGCTGCCACATGGGAGCACGAAAGAAGGAGAATCGACCAATCTAGCGGGACGGGGCGGGTTTCTCTGGTCAAAAACTTGTTTTTGATCAAAAGTGCGAAGCTATCGTCCAAACTGTCCTTCTCACATGGAAGCTCGAGTGGTTTGGAAGGCAACTCCATCAAACTCCCAAATGGAGCCGCAGAGCCTCCCACGATGCCATCGCAGCCAAGGCATCCTCGCTCAAGGCATGCGCTATGCCACTCTGATCCTGGACCACCAGCGTTGCTGGAACACGAAACCAACACGAACCTACCCACCAAAAGATGGCGGCTATGACTCAACAAAAACCAGGGTTAGATGACAAACCCACTGTCAAAATACAGTAGATAGACTGAAAATCACCTGTGGGCCCCAAACTGCTCTATCTCTGGGTTTCTTCGAGCCGGCATGAACCAAGTCACTGATCCATCCCCTCTTCGCTCGTCCCCTCCGGAGGTCCCCCCCTAGCTTCGGACGAGCGAACGGGGGGCACCGGAGCGTGGGAGCTCTGGCGTTGGCCACCCGAGCCCGTCGAGTGAGCTCTGGGCCCAAGGCCTCTTTACAACAGAGTTTAGTGGCCTGCAACTCGCCACGTCAAAGAGGGAGATTGCAAAACGACAAATGGAAAGATCGCTGAACCGGCATGACTTCATGAACCATCATTCTTCATGACTATGGGCCGCTCCGATTGACTCTCCAAAAGACCGATCTAGAAAGCTACAGAAGACTGGACTGCGAGAAGGTTCACGCGCATACAGTACGTTATGGGAAGGTCTTTGCTTGAGTGTCTCTCTCTCTCTCTCTCTTAGAATCGCTTCAAGCGCTGAACGGCAACCAAATCAACCAATAATTATTTGGCCGATCTTCGCCTGGGCCCTGCTTCATCACTTCTGAAGTGAAACCGACAGCCCTCAAATGCTACAAGAATTGCGCCTCCAAAAGCAGGAGAGGCTTTGCTGGAGGCATGGGGGAGCCGATGTGTGCGGAGAGATGCAGCCTTGCGTGTGAAAAAGCAGAAACCTGGTTTCTATCATACTCGAAGCCAAACTAAAACCACAAGCCCGGGTGAAGGAAGGGGTGAGGGCAAAACACACATTCTCAGGAATGCCCCACCTTGCCTGACTGTCTGCGTTGACAGCAAAATGTCGAATGGGATTGAAACAAACTGGAATGCACAGCATGGAAGAAAAGAACCTTCAGATTCAAACATAGATATATATATATTATATAGTATACTCTAAAGTATAGATAGGATTGTAACTAATGCAAGAGAACACTAGGAGCCAACCGTAGTTCTGTCCCATCAAGTGTCAAGCAGCCAATGTGCATCAACTGTGCCATGGTCAAGACTCCTCGGGGTGCTCATCCTATCCTTCCTAGGACCACTGTTGGGGGCTGTGGTCCCATGAAACATGGATGACAGTCTACCTGCAGTTCTGTTTAGACCATGGCACAACTGGCACAACTGGCATTGACAAGTTGCACGGTTGGAAGCTCTGCTTTCCGCAAGAGGGCATCCTCAAACACGGCAGGCTGAGAGTTGGTTCCAAGGGAAGGCGATCAGTGTTTGCATTGGCAGGTTCCTCCATGCGTCCCCATCGCTACAATGTAGCTTGACATCCTCTTCTATCCTCTTCTGTCTAGGCTTTGTCTGGACATGTGTCGTCCAATCTGTGGAACACCCTACCATGTTCTGATTGTCATCAGCCATCCCAATGCTCAGGCAGTTGAGCAAGTTCCGTATCATCCAACAACACTACGGTTTCTTGCAACGGACGGAAGAAAACAGCGCCAAAAACTCGTCCACTTAGGCCACAGCCCTTTTGGGTGCAAACAGGAGGAGGCTGGGATAGGCTGGGGGTGAGAAAACCGTAGGGTATTCCGTCCTCCGTCCCTCCGTCGGGTCCATCTTCGATGTTCTGGCAATGTCCACGTCGGAGCCAGGTGACCCTCCTGCTTCCGACTCTGCCGATGTCTGGCCGCGGCCACGGCCGGGGGGCCCGGTTTCGCCGGTGACGCCCGAACCGACTCGGTCGCTCGGTCCGGCGCCCAGGTGGCGCTCCTGCAGGGACTCGAAGGTGGCCACTTCAACCCTGGGCGAAAGGCCCGCGATGCCTTGCAAGGCCTGCCGAGCTGAGCAAGCGCGCTGGGCGACGCCCGGGCGAAGTGTCCCGGCCGACCCGGGGCCTCTTTTCAGAGGATCTGGAGCTTTTTTTCGATCCCCCGCGAAAGAAAGGCGAAGGAAGTCGTTGATCGTCCGAGCGATCTCCAACGGTCAGGTGAGTACGACGAGTCACCAACAACTTGAGGTGCAGTTCCTGTACGCCTCCCTACTACCTACCAGCAGTTCCTTGTCAGCAGTCGCTAAGTGGACACCCCAACCCCCCAAGTTCGGCACCCCGACATGAAACTCCTGATAGATATTCTGGTGAGACCATCTCGTTCGCTCTTTTCTTGGTGAGAACTCGAGTGCACCAAGCGAAGGGCCAGGAGAAGTACCGACCCTGGCCATGAGTGATAGGACCCTGCCTGACTCCCAAAACAGATAGAAGAAACAACCCACCACTCCACTACCAGCACTACAATTCGGCCGTTTTTCGGATGGAGAACACCGCAGGGGGGGTTCTCCTTTACACCACCCGCAACACCCATGTCACACCGCCATGTCACCCGCCCTCGCCCTCGGAAGAACACAGAACCCGTGGGGAACAAACCGTAACGCCAACCTGCAGTTCGGACATGGTGTCCAACGCAGCAAGGGGCTGTCGGCCTCTCAAAGTGTTGGCAACAGAGGGAAATATAGAGCATGGTAATGCATGGTACCAAGGACCAAGTGCCAGTGCCCCAATTGGTCAGAATAGAAGCAACCCAGATGCTGACCCGAACCAACTGCTCATTGTGTTTGAGATCCAAAACCCTAGCTGTGAGGGTCAAAACCCTAGCGAACTGAGGGTCCAATCATCCTTTGGCCCTTTGGCAAGTGCAGATTCACGCGCAAGAGAAGTAAGAGAGTTCGATGGCTGTCGCGCCGACATGGATTTGTTGGGTGGGAAAAAGAGAAAACCGCCTGCTGGTTGACCAACCCGAAACCATAATGTGATTTGTAGTTTATACCTGATGGTATGCGTCTTTAGAGTCTTTAGTGAAGAAGATCAATTCAAGCCCAAACAGCTGAGCCTCAACAGACTGCCAAACACATGATTGCTTTCCATCCCTGCTTGGCTTCATCACCTGCAAAGCGACTGTGCACAAACCGTTCAGAAAAAGATCGCCCCCACACCCCGCACGGTTTCTGGCCAGGTGGCCGTAGACCAGGGGCGAGGAATACAAGAAGTCCAGCTGAAAAATGGCATCACCCAGGTTCTCCAGGCTGGAACAGCTCTGCTCACCTGCAGTAGAACAAGCCAGCGAGTTGGAAAATCACGCAAGGAGTTGGCGGCGAAAAGTAGTGCCATGGCATGCAAGGCTGGAGCAAAGTGAGCATGAAGGAACATGAAAAATGTCAACATAGAGGAGGCGTGGCTCTTCTTGTATGTAATGTAAATTAATGTAATGTAAAATGGAGTCATCTCAGGAACAAAGCGATCAAACATGTCACGACTGACTGACCTGTATTCCTTCACCATGTTCGTTTGTAGGGCATCAATGCACCAATCTGTCGACTGCTTTTGGTTGACTGCCTCAACCATTTCCCGAGCTCGCCTATTGGAACATCCGATCCCTTCTCGCTTTCCAGTTGAAATGCTCGCCACGCACGCAAATATGCCTCAGACCAAGTGTAATGATTCTTTGGTGTTCTTTTGCTCCGGCGGACCCCAGAAAACAGGCTGAAGTAGATAGACATGGCTACACCTGGCTACACCTTTCTTGCTGCTCAAAACCATTTCCCTTTGCCAACCAACCACCCCCCCCCCCAACCGCCTCCCCGGTCCCTCCGCTATCCCAACTCTCCGCCCGGCCCCCGCCGAGCGGCTGGCAAGGACCGCTCCGAGAAGACGCTCTGCGACGCGGCACAGAAGAGCTGCAGCTCCGACAGCACGTCGCTCAAATCCAAGAGATGCCGCGGAGCTCCGGAGAGGCCTCGCCATGCGCTGGAAAATGGTGGTGCGGAATCCATGGTGGTGGTTGGGGTGGTGCGTCATGGTTGGGGTGTGGGAGGCGCCATTTCGGCCTCGCCAGCCCAACGTGGGGGGCTGGGCCCGGACCTGGAGGTCCCGTCACAGAAAGGCTGAGACATGCACAAAGGTCCTACGTATAGTCTAACTTATACCTGATAATGTATACAGTAAGTTTGATTCAGTTTGTGGATGTAGATTGATGTTGTGTTTGTTAAATCCTTTTGGACTCCGAAGCTGCATTGGTGGCCAGAGGTGCAAACTCCCTGTTGCCGGTTCACTCAAAAGTCTCCCTATATTTCCCACACGGTCCCACAGGCAAACCATCCTCCATCTTCATTCCATGTCCCCCTTCAGAACTCCCACAAAGATACGTACCCGCGATAGTATACCGCTCCTACCAGTGTGCTAAATCCGCCACCGGTCCTCTCCCAACGCCGGTCCGCGGTCGGAGAGCACCTGCCTGGGCACTGTGGACATGGCACCTTCGTTGAGAAGCAAAGCTTGGGCACACACGAGGACAAGCCTTCGGAGACGAGCTCAAAGACGTGAGACCTCAGAGACGACCCCTCGGCCCTTCGGTGTCGGCCTTCGGTGCCGAGACGGAGAAGAGGACGTCAGTGTTGGGGGGGTTCACGAAAACCGGTATATAGAACGTGAGAACCGGTTGATGGATGTTGACGGTATATTTCAGATCATGATGTTTCCAAATATGGGATTGTATATGTTTTTGGACCGTTCAGGGTGGCCAAAGCTTGCGGGGGCCATGTTTGCTACATTTTTATACATGTTGCAAGTAGTCATCACGTCCCATTGGACGTTTGGGAAACGTTCAGTTGCAGGTCCAGACCTTGAAACCATCGGTGCTCAAATTGATGTGATATGCAAAACGATGTGTTGCACACATGCAGCAAAGGCCAAAAGGCCTGCGATGGTGCATGCCGCATGCCAGTGTGTGCGTGTGTGTGTTCATGTGGGGAGCCAGCCAGGGTGTTGCACCTTTTGAAACGGCTCCATCTCTGCTAAATCCATCTGAAAAAGGTATCCTCCCCAAGCAACAGGTGACGTGCGTGACACCTTCAATGCTTGCCGGGCCGCATCACTTGATGGTTGACTTGAGTCTCTTCTGATGCAGTGACCGTCAGCTTCAAAGTCTCACAAGGCCTCAGAGTCAATTGTTGGTCGCTGAGTGACGAGCTGTTTTTGGCGCGTCTTTTCTGTCATTGACAAGAAGCTCGAAAAAAATAACGGGGAGTTCCTCTCCCGGACTTGCCATCGGCTAAAGCCAGACTCCCCTCTTAAGCTTTCATCTGCTTTCCCAGCGCCCAGGTTGGGTCAACGCATTGGATCACCGTGACCACCCGCTCCCCACAAAACGCACGCCAAGAGGCTCCAAGTGAATCAGCTCCAGGGTCACAAAGACGGATCCCATGGAAAAGGCCAAGAAGTCCTGGAGGGTTTTTCAAGGGATGGGCAAGTCAAAACATGGTGTTGAAGCCGATCAAATGATGTGTGTCGGACCACTGCACCAAACTCACCTATAGCTACGAGTAGAGTTTTTGTAGGCCAGGACTTCACTTGGCAATACCCTGGATTGACATGCTTTTCGATACTGCACCCATGGAAGACAGACTTCGGAGCCAGATGTCCTAAATGTCTGTTCCAACAAATGCATGTTGCTCAGTTTCTAGTCCATCTGTCCCTGTTTACATCCTTATTTTGCAATGTCGAAGACCAAAGTCTCCTGGCACAGCATCTTCCCGCGCAAGGTCTCATGTTTCAGCTGAAGCCGTCCAAAGAGCCGCGGGAGCAGCGAAGGCAACAGCTGCCGCAGCGCGCCGTGGAAGTCGAAGAACAGCGCCGCCTGCGCGTTGCGCGTAGGTGGAGGCGAAAAGAAGAGCGACGGCGATCAAGACTCTTCGAAACTGATCATATGCAGTTCCCCAGCAATGCGTTTCTCAAGGTTTGTTATATAGTTTGTTTGCTTGTTTCGCTGCTCTGAGGGCTCCTCAAAACAGGGTCCATGTGAGACCAGACATGCAAAGGACCATGACAGTCCAGCATTGAGGACTCTATTCCTCCGATCTCATCAAATCCGCAGACGAAGTCGCCGAACTCCCTTTGTCGCGTCGGAACTCGCCTGCGCCACCTGATCCGACTGGGCGGGTCCAGAGCGGCGTTTCGGCAGCAGGCTGGGCACCAGCCAGTGGCTGGGGCTGCTCAAGGTGCTACCTTCACAGAAAAAGAAGATCCCAGATGTTGCACACACCAAATTCTTCCATGAACCGCCGTCTCGTATCGTTTCCTCTCCGTCTGTGGACGGCCCCAACGGGTTGCGCGCCTGCGACGGGCACCAGCAGGCTGAAATGCTCCAGGAACGCTCGTAAAGTGGCCTGAGACGCGTGATGTGATGGTTGGTTGTAATGGTCTTATCTCGAAAGCTCATATTGGACTTCCAATGGACCTGAAGAATTCCCAAGAATTCCCAGCTTGAAGATTTCTGGAGATCGGAGGGCCACCGAACTGGCCCAATGGCCCAATGCACGTTCCGCTGCTGTTCCAACAAAAATGAAGAGCAAAAAAGGGTCTGGCTTACGTCACCCACCTCCTGACCATGAAACTTCTCCTTGTCCCAAAGCTTGTGCAGCAACTCTCTGGAGAGCTCGCCCTTCCTTGGAAATAAAGAGCAAAGAGTCCACCAAACTGATGGTCGGATGAAAAAGGAAACAGAAGCCCAGCTTTTGAGATTGAAAATGACGTTCTGCTCTCTTCCACTGATGCAGTATTCATCCATGCATGCATGAACGTCGATTTTGATGCAATGTGTCACTCAACATCTGACAGCCAGGAGGCTGTAGCAATGCCGTAGCTTGGTGCGAGTTTCCCCTTGGCACGTGGCCACCGGGAATCCGTGGCTATGGAAGAGTCATGACAACCACGCCTCACCGCCTGGTCTCAAACGGAAAGAATTGAGGCAATACCGCGTCTCGCTATTTGAGGGACCAACTCCATCCCACACAATCGTGAATTGCACGGTTAAACTTGAGGCCAGGGGGAGAGGTCGAAAGCTAGCCGAATCGCACCGGATGTACTAGTTACATAGTCGGCAAAGCATGTAGGGATTACATGTTTTGGGAGGAAGGTTGCTATGTACATACTTTGCGCTAAAGAATGTAAGTGTGACATCGCTGACTGGGAAGGGTACATTGGAACAACCCGGGTGCACTCGTTGGCAGGCACGAAGATGCGTGATCGGCAAATCTGGGGGGTAAATTTACCCTCCGCTTTTGTATGCCTTGAGTCGGAAAGAGGGGTAAGCATTTCTGACATCATACGGACTGTACATACACTACGGCGTCCGTAGTGTAGGAGAAGCACGGGTAAAAGGTATATGGAATAGAGTGTCTTGAGGAAATAGCCGGTGTATGGTTATTGCAAATCTGGGGGG